ACACCACCACCACCACCACCTCGATGCCACACTACGGTCATGCCGGCGAGACGGTCGTCCCTTCCTCCCTAGTACTAGAGGAAAAAAGAACAAAAGGGAGGAAACCCTCCGACCTCCGCCTCGACCACCTACTCGGCAATTGGAGCCACAACCTGCCCTCAAATCAACACCATAGCCCACCTCTACCTCACCGCCATGAATATCGGCGACCTTTGATCCAGGATGGCAGCCCTAGAAGCCAAAAACAACTCGGGAACGCTGATCGACTCTATCGCACGAGAAGATGGACCCCGACACCTGATCGAGGCCGCGTCGGCACAGCCGAGAACCGGCCACCATCGAGGATCCCGACGGCCCTATTGAAGAAGGCAGCATGAGAAAAATTGACGAGGGAGGGTTTCGAAAGAGGATTTTGGAGAATTTATTTCTAATTGTTGTTATAAAAAAGAAAAAGAAAAAATAAGAGAGTTGAGTTGAGTTGAATTGGATGATTGTAATAAATCACTAAGGTAATCTCCAGCACTTATCTCTACTCTAGCGCGGCTTTACTCTACTCTAGAGTAGAGTTGAACATTCATCTCCAGCCCTTATCTCTACATTTTACTCTACATCAAATATATTATTTTTTATTCATTTTTATTTCAAATAAATAGGTATATATTTGTATATTTAATCTTATATAAAATGTTAATTATTCAAATAATAAAAATGTATTTTATTTTTGTTTCAAATGATTTAGTATATAATGTATATTTAATTTTATAAAAAATGTTTATTACTCAAATAATAAAAAAAATTATTTATTTTTATTTTAAATAAATTGTTATATATATATATGAATATTTAATTTATATAAGTATTTATTATCCAAATAATAAAAATTTGGTATCATATGGTATCATTTTAATATTAAAAATTTACAAAATAAAATTATATACATCAATAAATAAAAATCTTGCCAAAAAAATAGGTTGATTATATCCATCATTTTATTTTTCAATTATTTTTATTGTAAAACACATTCTAAGAAAAATAAGTCAATTGCCGAATAAATGTAATAATTAGATATGGGTATGTGCAATATTGGCGGAATATATATTCGCTTTTGATCAGATTTTTTTTACTTAAAAATTAACACAATTCAACTCTCTTCAATATTATTAATATAATTAAATAATATCAAATTTAACCCAACTCTCCTCAATATTATTAATGTAATTAAATAGCATCAATAATATCATCAAATCATTCTTAGATATCACATCAATATTAATTCACTGCTCATCTTTTTTTTTTTTCAACTCAGAGGTATCCCCACGTTCATCCGGTATTTTCATCGCCACCCATTGCCAGCCCGCCAATCATAGAAAGAGCCCTCACGGCCTAGGGGCATCCACAACCAAAGGGTGGGACTAATCCTCCCAGGTAGATGGCCAGCCCCAATACCATCCACCGGCTTCCAGGTTCGATCTCAGGACCTCATCACAAGTAGGTGTTTTAAGAGTACCCGCTCCGCCACTGTACCACATGCCCTGGGGGCAATTCACTGCTCATCCGCTCACATAATTTAACTACATATCCCTCTTACTCACTCAAGTCTAAGTAAATCAGTTTTTTTCAAAATTAACTCTGGTTATCCAACAAATTCAAAATAACTTGTATCCCATCACCTTTGAATTGGTGGGATTGGACCTGGTTCATGGCGAAATTTGTTGTGGTTGAGGAGACAAGCAAAGATCTATATGTCTGTTTGTGGACTGCAAGCCCAAATTAGTGGAGACAGAAACCCAACCGAAATAAGCCAAGAAGGCAAGTCTCAAGTCTCCGTCAAGTCGACCGTCGGCAATAACGGCAGCATAGAAATTCTTCAGATATGATTAATACTACTTAAAAATTTGCACAGGAATGCACAAAAGTTGGGAGAGATTGTGATCAAGAAGCTCTGTGAAGAAGATAACTGCACATTTCCACTGATGAGACGGAAAATGAAGCCACTATGAATGGGATAATATTGTCTTATACACATTTATATCAAATAAGTTAGGAAGAGAATCAAATGTGTGACCAGTACAACATTATCCTTCCAAATCATTAATCACAAATAACAAATATGAATTTAATTCAATCCGTACATTATAATCCACCCATCGCATACTATATTAGTATTGTACGGATAAAAATTAAATCGTATTGTACAATCCACCATCACATACCATTTTAAGATTATAGTCCTATTAAGTGGGTTAAAACTTTTCCAAAAAATTAGACCGACTCATTGGTTCATGCAATTCTACCTTGTATGTGTGTGCATCATACAGTATAGAGCACACAGTCGAAACTGTAAACATTTACTATCATCAAATATACTTTTATTAGTGTGACGAGAGAAAAAGTTTAGAGTGATTATACCCGTACCTGAAACTCCCCAGCAACCTTTTTTCTCCTTCACCACTCACTCACCCACCCACACACACCAACACGGCTCAGCTAATACATTCTCGCCATACCATGCACAACACCAACTTTCCTGTGCATAACCCCCACATTTGTGGTGGCAGTAGCTGCAGCCACCCCATGGCCACCGCCATATTGGGCTTTTGACTGGAGCAGGCTTGTGTCCATCATCACTGCTCTCTCATCCGCTCGATCCACCAACTTATTGGGCCTGGGCTGGGCCTCGAAAAATGGATTGGTGCTGTCTATGTTTATGACGCTGGTCCTAACAAGGGATGTGGGGTCGTACGCATCTTTAGTGGCGCGCTGGGCCCTATTCTCATAAGGCGGGATGGGCTGGACGGCTTTGCCTGTTCCAGCTAACGAGCATAAGAGGGAAAATGATTTTACAGATATTTGAGAAAATATAATACTGCGTCAAAATGTGTTCAAATTTCTTGTTTTTTTTGTTTTTGTTTTTGTTTTTCGTTTTCAATTCCACGCCTTGAATGTCATTATTGTAAATGTCCCTAATAAAAGTGATCAGTGAAGTACCGTATGGAATCCTCTGGTGTGGCTGCAAATTTCTCGATAAACTATCATGATGCCCATCAAAACCTCTCAAGTTTCTGCTGGTGCAAGAGTCCTCACAATTCTGCCTATCCCTTGCAATTGCAATTGTTGTCTGATCTTTTAGTGGTACCGTTTTGGAATGTACAATGGTGGATCTGCACAGTAAGTTGTTATGAAAAAATAGTTCGGGACGAGCGAGGGCATCAACTTAGTTACTAATAATTTTCCTTCAGAATAGTATTAACACGAAATTGAGCCAACGTGATGACACAACAAAACAAAATAATGAAGAGTATTCATCATATACGCATAAAGCGTTGAATTCCCACAGAATTCATTTCGAACATTACATGACACTACATAACGGAAAGCAGTTTGATAAGTTCTAACCTAAACATGCAATTCCTGAATTTCAAACATAAGGCTGCAGTGGTATTGAAGAATTAAGGGAGAAGTAGGTAAGATTAAAGAAGTAGCATTGCCAAGAAGAGTATGAACTACTCTTATTAGTCTATCCCCATTTTCAACTTCCATTTGCAACCATGAGAGTTACATATTTAATAATCAGTCACAGAAAGAACACATCATTGCAACATCTGTTGTCAAGTTTAACTAGAAGAGTAAATACAGCCCACTCAAACCACATAGAACAGTATTTAATATAATGTATATCTAACACATATATATATTGAAAAAGACAATATAAACAGTACAAAATAAAAAAGGAATAAGGAGGGGAGATGTTCAGCTGATGTTTGTGTATACCTAGGAAGAGAAACATGCTTTCTTTCTAGTGGAAATGCAGTTCCACTTTTACCACCATTTTCTTCTAAATGAGCAAACTGATTCTTAAATTGATCAATAGCACTGCATGGCAGATATGTTTCATGATTAGTAATCTCCCTTTTTGACAAAGAGAAACGTTCTATCATGTGTTTGTGTGCGCATGTAATCTCACTAGGAAGAAATAGATCACCTGGGATAGAGAAAATTAGTTCTCTCAACTCCATTGATGTAATCCTTCAGCAGCTGAGGATGATACTCTAGTATCTCACGGAATATTAACTCGCGAACATCCTCCTTCATCACTCTTTGCCTTTCAAATTCAAATTCCATCTTCGAAATCGGTTGCCCGGAAGGTTCCCTCTCAACTTTTGCTAGTCCCTTAAAGTACGGATGAGCCAGTGCCTGGAAATGCAGAAAATTATCAAAGACACAGAAACCACTGTGAACACTAATTCCGTATAAAAAAAAACAAGAACTTATGCCTTCATTCTATGACAGCATCATACAAAAACGAAGGGGAATGCGGGGCTCACCTGTATGAAAAATCTTGATTATTTACAATTTTATACAAGTACAGAATGGAAAAGGCTCCCTACGTAGAACAGAAAGTATTTATATGATACTCCTAGACTTTCAAAGGGCTTCCAATATAATAGAATAGAAGTTTTGCGAAAAGAAGTAGGCCATAGCAAACCTCCTCAGCAGTTGGACGGTCCTTTGGGTCAAAAGCAAGCAGCTTCTCCAAGAGTCGAAGGGCCAATGGATCAGCATTAGGAAATTTCTGAGAAAACTGGACAGGCTGCTTCTTTCTCATGCTAGTAAGGTACCTTCTAGCCTTGTCATTACGAACCTTGAGAGAGAGAAAGAGAGAGAGAGAGAGAGAGAGAGAGAGAGAGAGAGAGAGAGAGAGAGAGAGAGAGAGAGAGAGAGAGAGAGAGAGAGAGAGAAAATGTCATAAGCAAGTCGGTGGCTGCAGAAAATTCCCAAAAACTCAAATAACAATGAATACTAAAAGTGTAAAAGTGATGCATACCCGTGAGATGGTATCCATTGAAGGCGTCCCAAGAAGGTCAGTAATCAAATCCAACTGATGAACCACATTCTTTCCAGGAAAAAGAGGTTTACCAGTCAGAACCTCGGCAAAAATGCAACCAATACTCCATATGTCAATTGCTGGAGTGTACTATATGAGATGAAAAACCGAGAAACTTCACTCAGGGTATCATCAAAATAAATTCTCACAACACAAAGCATAAGAAAACTTTAATTAGGCTACATGTGCACAGACTTATGATTAAATCATGCAAACTTACAGATAAAGCATACACCCAAATCAGATCAGTAAATACTAAAATAAGGAATATAAACAATTAGTTCAATGTATCCACATAATCTTATGCAATACTATGATAACTTACAATAAGGGATGCACCAAATCTGATCAGAAATGAGGGAATAAAAAACAAAAGAGACCATACAGCTTACATTTTGTACAGTTTGTGTGTCACCTCTGGACAAAACAATGTTGTGAACATACATGTCAAGGTCTTGACATTCCCATTCACTGTATCTTTGAATTTCACTTATCTATCTATCTATCCCCAAATTTTTCTGCTCATTTTTTTTTTTTCATTTAATTATGGAAACCAACAGTTCCATTTTGCATTATCCGTTCCATTTAATAATATATCTTCAGGCCATTTGTTTTAAATTTAATCCTATTCTTTAGTTTGTATATCATTAAGTGGTTTTCTTAAATAGCTAATTAGTTTTAGTAGCCTAGCAAACCCCTTAAAATCGCGTAAACACTTGCTTAATGATAATAATTTTAACATATATACAACTAATTAATTGGTCATGATCCCTTAAATTTATAAAACACATTATTCATTACATTTTATGCTATATAGTGATTCATATATTAAGTAAGATAGTTTATAATTATATTAATCATTTTTACTAATGATCAAATTGTAAACTCTGATATGCGATCCATTATCTAGCTTATGATTTAAATATAATATCCATACATCTGACTTATAATATTTTATTTGCATTTGTATGTGCACAAGATTGAATACTAGTTTAATATAAAAATCAGCTATGACACAGTCTAATCAAATATGGTCCTATAGCTATTTTGCAAAAGGTAATCTAATTTGTTATGCTATTTTTCATTTATAAAAAATGAATTGACGGAGCTGCAAAGAAAATGTGAAACTACACCTTTGAGAAAAAGGAGCCACACAATTCTGGAGCCCTATACCATCTTGTAGCAACGTAGTCCTGTATGTTACAATAAGAAACACAACTCTCAAAACCTCAGACTGTGACATCATTGTTCCATTATAAATTTCTTGAATTCTTAGATCATACCGTCCAAATAATTGTTTCTGGTGTGTCATTGAATGCTGCTCTAGCCAATCCAAAATCACAAATTTTGAGTTTACAGTTTGCATTTGCCAGAATATTCTTTGGCTTTAGGTCTCGATGATACACATTAGCTGCAGTAAAGACAGTTAATCCCGTTAACCAATAGACCATTTCATAAACTCTTCATGAATATAAACGACCATAACTATAAGAGAACATATTGCCAGAAAACAAGACATAATTGCCACTAATGGAAAACACCTCTTTTGGACAATTGCCAAAGTCTAAGCGACATGTTTAGGTTGCATTATAAACCTCATCAAAGTAGTATACTATTGTAACCCAAAAAAGAAACAATGAAATTATATATGACAATCAGATTAATTGTTTACTTTCCTTTCAGACATAAATAGAAGAAACTTAGACACCAAAACAGTGAGGGCAAACAGATAACCTGTGTGGATATACTTGAGGGCTCGGAGCAATTGATAAAGGAAAAATTGATAATGCTCTCGTGTCAAGTCATCATTAGCTTTAATGACTTGATGTAGATCTGACTCCATTAGCTCAAAAACAACATAGATATCTTTGAATTCTCTTCTTGAAGGTGGAAGCATGATGTGTTTAATTTCGACAATATCAGGGTGTCTCAAAAGCCTCAGAAGTTTTATCTCCCGCAGAATTCGTGCAGCATCAGAAATGTGCTCAAAGATACCGTGTATTTTCTTTATTGCCACTTTTTCACCAGTATGAGAGTCGATTGCTGAGCAAACGACACCATAACTACCTTTACCTATGACCTCCAGGATTTTATACCTGCTTGCATCACCATATTCAGAAAAGAAATCCATTTCTGCTGAATTCTGTAGCATCGAATAACAACTAATGTTAGTGTATTACAAGAAACAGATAATTACTCACCAACCGATGAATATGTGACATATATATTGCATATTTGCATACAGAAGGTAATGGGAAAAAAAAAAATTAGTCTACCAATATAATAAAAGATTTAAGATGAATATGGTATGATAATTGAATCACATCACAAGCCCTTCTTTCTTATTTTTAATGGCTGATACAACTCCACCCATCCACAATTCTCAGAAAATATATCATAAAGCAGATGTATGATTTAAAATGGTGTAGAAATAAGCAAGCAACCACAGGATATACGTTAGAGACTGCCAGAGAGGAGTACCTAGCAAAATTTTGAGTTAATTCCACACTTTAGAATTTTAACTCCGTACCTAGCATAAGTGAGTCATGAACGACAAACTAGATATACTGATTTCACATGAATATGAATTATCAAATAGACAACAAGAGTACAGAACTCCAGTCGATTCAAAAGATTATCCTAATTTTTCCACATAAAACTACATGTGCATATAAAAGATAAATTCCAATGCTACCACAGCTGTTCCCCTTTGAAACATAGAATTAATATAAAAGAAAAAAAAATAAAAAATTGCACAAAGCTAGAACATAATAGTTCATCAAAAGTAGCCACTCAGTCAGACAGTATGAAACAGGTCATCAAGCCAATCCGTCTCAAACCTCCATTAGACAACCTAGATATCATGAAAAACTAGATATCGTCCTTCTTCGTCAATTAACAAACATCAAAATGTACATTTAAAGCTGAGTAATGAAACTGTACGGAGGATTTCAAATAGAATCAATGCTACAGAGAGGAGCAAACAAACTCAAATGGCAAATACATTTTATATCGAATAGGAGACAGATGAAATACCACAATTCAAGAAGAGCTACATCTCTTGACATCAAATTCTGGTTTACTCTAAAAACGAAAAACAAAAATAAGTACTAAAACCCAATAAAACAAAACCCTTAAACCTTAATCTGCATCATCTAACAAAATTCATCAAGACAAAGTAATGGTAATTGCATTACATAACCCAAGACAAAGGCACAGATAAATGGCTAACTTTCTTCCGGTGATTTGGCAGCATTTTCCGACCAAATTCAAGCTCTGCCCCAAAAGCAGCACCTGATCAAACGAACCGAATTTACCATGAGCATTCCCCTAGCCACATTTCCCCCATCTACCGCGGCATCGGATGGCTAAGGAGCAGTCCCACCTCGAACGCTTCGTATTATTGTTAAGAAACAATGAGAAAACGATCATTCATATAACAAAAAGCTGCTCCTTCTTCTTCCTGTCCGCCAACAATCATAGAACAACAGAACCCACCATTAAAAAAAACAAAAACAAAAACAAAAAAAACAAAAAGAACCCCAATTGCAAGAAACCCTCGATATAATTACATTTAGATTTATAGGGGATAACCGTTTCTCCCACTCTGATAATCGACCAATGTACAGTGTCGAGCTCTATGCAATATAAGCGTGTATGAATATGTGGATCTAAGAGCAGCCCTTTAGCGGCAGGTTAGGTGGTATATTCTAGTTTCTATCCGACACGACAGATTGTCTAATTTTGCTTAATGTAGGGGTGTAGAGCGAGTCCGAGCTCGAGGTTAGGGAGCCCTGACCAGCCGAGCTCTCCGAGTTCGAGCTCGAGCTCGAGCTTAGGGAGCCCTTAATGAGCCGACCTAGCTCGGCTCGTTAAATAAATGAGTCAAAATCGAGCTCGAACTCGACTCGTTAAGGACTCGAGTTCGAGTCTTAACAAGAGAACTAAAAATTATAAAAAAAAATTATTTTCAAGCCTTATTGAACTCGGCTCGGTAACCAAACGAGCTTTAAATGAGCTCGACCTCAACTCGTTAGGCCTCGAAGTAAATAGACCTAAGTGTTTGATGACATAGACAAAAAATATATAAAAGTAACAAAATTAACTCCAATACAAAGAGACTAGGTCTCTACTCAGGTCTAAAATATACTCATGGATAGATGAGTATTTTCTCTTGTTGTCACATCAGCAGGACCTAATCTACTTGCACTTACATTGTAGTATATATTTTTCTAGACTGTATGTATCTACTTCCTACGTGGCTTGTATGATTTTTTGAAAGAACCCCGAGCATTGTGCATTAGATGATCCACAATGCTTATGATTCATTCGAGAAAATATACAAGTCATGTAGGAAATAGACTCAATTTAAAAAAATATATACTCCAATGCAAGTGCAAATAGACGGGGTCATGTTGATGTGGCCCTAAGAAAAAAAATACTCGATCTACCCTTAAGCCTATTTTACATCCAAGTTGAGACTTATTAGGGTGTGCTTTATAAAATAACTGGAAAAATACTATTTTTTTTTATTTTTTCTGTTAACTATAGTTTATTTTGAAAAATGTTAGTATGATTAGTTGTTAGTGAAATTTTAATAATGCATTAAAACAATATTTTAAATACAATGATTCAAATTAGTTTGATGTAAAAGTGAGATAAATGATTAGAACTAGGTAGTTAAAGTTATGTGAGTGGATAAATAGAGAATTAAAGTTGATGTGATGTGTAAGATGGTTGAATGATATTATTTAATTATATTGATAATATTGAGGATAGTGTGGCTGAAGTAAAGTTGAGTTAGATTTTGAATTAAAATGTTTTTTTCTATTTATTTTATAGTTATTTTATAAACAATCACGCCCCTAGCCTCTTTGTATTGGAGTTAATTTTGTTACTTTTATATATTTTTGTCCATTTCATCAACACTTAAGTCTATTTACATGTCACGTAAGCAATATTAGATCCAAAGCAATGTAGAAGCTCTTAAAGCATGCACAATGTTTGGGATCTAATTTTGCTTATGTGACATATAAATAGACCAAGTCTTATATGACATGGATAAAATTACATAAAAGTAACAAATTTCACTCCAGTGTTAAGAGACATAGTCTCTACTTGAGTCTAAAATATATAAGAGGAGATCGAGTCTCTTTCTTACCGCCACATCAGTAAGTGGATTGGGTCTTGCTGATGTGTCAGCAAGAAAAAGAGACTCGGTCTTTAAGTCTATCTCGGTTTACTCTTAAGTACATGTTAATCCAATGCAAGTGGACTAGGTACTGCTTATGTGGCAGCAAGAAAAAAAAAAATCGGTCTACCCGTAAGTCTATCTCGGTCTACCCTTAAGTCTATTTTAGACCCAAACAGAGACCTAGTCTCTTTGCATTTGAGTTAATTTTGTTACTTCTATATATTTTTGTTTATGTCATCCAAGACTTATGTCTATTTAAATGCACGTGACCACAATTATACCCAAAACACTGTAGATGCTTGGATTTTAGAGCATCTTTAACAACAAAACTCTTTAAACTTTTTGTTATCATCCGACTCGGTAATCTGCTGTTACTAGCCTCAAACAACGTCTTAGGCAACTTAACATTTTCAACGACTTGGTCCGAAGTCACCCCGGTTCGTATGACAAACCGGTATAATCATAAAAAACCGAAGTGATCACTACCAGCCGAGGTCACCCCAACCGAAATCAACATGAACCGAGGTCGTCACCTCCTAAGCAGGTGACAAGGCGCCTACACGCCATCCTCACAAACTACGAGATCTGCTGGGACCCACTGATCCTGCCGCCCACCAACAAAATAACTTTATAGAAAAAGCAATGCACGAATCCCGATATGTATCTCAAAAAGTTGCTATAAATAGCGAGTTCATAATACTTGTACGGGATTCGATTCGAGACCCGAACTTTTTACAATGAAACACGAAACAGCTCATAGAAGCTTTTCACCTCGGTTCACCTCGGACCGGGGCCATTGTTGAGTATTTCATACATACCTTACGTTCAAATCACTAAGAAACATTAAGTAAATCCATCATCAAATCGTTGTTACGAATCGCATAACAACACTAAGTACGCAAATTTGTGTTAGGGTTGCTCGGTTCGGTTCGATTCGGTTAATTCGCGAATAGTAGGATTTTTTCGGTTAACCGAAAATTCAGCTACCGAGATTTTCGGTTCAGTTTCGGTTAGCAAATTCGAATATTTGCTCGGTTCGGTTAACAAATACCTCAAAAAACTCGAGTATCCGAACCGTACCCAGCCCTAGCTAAATGGCCCATATTGTATATTTTATAATCACAATTCAAATATGCAAATAATGTCCATATTTATAATATTATATATACCTAGATACCATTTCCTCCAATCATTCTCCTCTGTGGTTCCCTTGGACCATCTTGCTGAGTGGACCCCACTCATTCTCTCTCCTCGAAGGCCACAAAGTATCTCTCCTTTCTGAACATATACCGGCGGGAGAGGAGGAAGGAAGGAAGTGAAAGAGTAGAAGAAAACTATTCCTCTGCTTCTACGGAACTGGTATTCATTTATTATTTTCTTTTCTTTTATATGAACTTGTAAATTTCATATTTCTTCTCAGTCACATTGACTTCTCTTTCTCATCAAGTCTTGATTTTTTTTTTTTTTGTGCTTCTCTTTTTTTTTTTTCTGCCTGTTCTCTCTGTGGCGCCTTCTTTTCTTGCAGTTATCGGTGTTCTTCATCTTGATCATGAGGTACTCTTTCAATTCGTTTGTGAAATTTAGTTATTTTTTTCTTTTCCACTGTTCAATTTGAGGTGGGTTTCGCTTGTATTGTGTTTATTCTCTATGTTTCGTGGGTTTAGCTTGATGGGTTCTTTTTCTAACATTTAATTCAGCAGATTTGTGATGAAATTTGTGAACTTTATGTGCTTTACATCGGTAAAGTTTTGATCTTTTTCCCCCCTTTTTTTTTTCTTTTTCGGGCTTCTGTCTTAATGTTTGCATGCCGTGGGGTGAAACTTGAAAGTGTGTTATTCGTGTGTGTTACATGAATTCTTTGTCAGTTTTCTGTGATTTGGGAAGTTATTTGGTTTTTGTGTATGATGATCGATATCATTCTCTGGAATTTTTGTGAGGGGTTGACCAAAAGTAAAAATTTGTGGCGCCTGTGGGTGTATGTGTGTGTGTGTGTGTTGCCTTTTCCTTTCCCTTTCTTCTTTCGTTTTTTATTTCTTTTTCTATTTCAGTTTCTTTTATCAGTTCAATTCTTTCGATATTTCGGCTGTAGTGAAGGTGTGAAGAGATGATTTATGATGTGTTTTTGATGGTGCTCCAAATTCTTCCTTTTGCCATGGAAAATGCTTGTTTTTATTCACATTTCTTCCTTTTTATCAGTATGAGGTTTACTAGTTAGTGCCTTATGTGGAGTTAAGTCGTGGCCAACACCATGTGCTTCTTGTGCCCATGCTCCTTTATGTCTGCCCACTTACTGAACTTCCTTTGACATTGACCTTCCCTTTTTTTTTTTTTGTGTGTGTGTGTGGTTAGAAAGAGCAAAAATTTAGAACATTGTTTCATCTGAATTTGTTTGTCTGGCTAAATTAGCACTTTCACGAACTTGATTAAGACATGTATTTCTCTTGTTCTTCCTTTTTATTTATCTGTATGATACTTGTTCGATTTATCATATCGATATTCCTGCTCATGGAGTTACTGCCGATCGATCATCTTTGTCGCCCCACTTAAAATTGTGAACATTTTGTTTCCACTAAGCACTTGCCATCTCAATAGCTATCACAGTTAGCTTTCACTGTTTTTCTGCGGGAATTAATTTGAATGGAGCAGCCTTCAAAAAATTTCATCAACAGTCAGTGTGAAAAGCAGTTGTCCATTCGTTATTGAGATTATTATATACATTGCTGGACCTTTTATGTAAAAATCTGAAGAACAAAATTCTTTTATTACCTGATTTTCCATGGCATTCCACATATATATATATATTTTTTTTTATGTGCTGTTCTGTAGGTCCTTCTAAAGTTCGTCTAATGAGCTCTCCAGATAAGGAGAAATCTGCTTGGGGACTTCCTAGAAGAATGGATATGTATCGTACGCCAAGTGTTGCCAGCTTATTTTCTACTTCACTGCCCATCCTTCCACATGAGAAATGTGAGTATGAGTAACTGAGCTTCTGACTGAATTATTTTATTATATATATTTATGTATTGTAATATGTATATGTTAGTGTTTGATTTATTATTATCATTGCAGGTAACCTTAATGATACTGGTCAAGGTGGTCAGCCGTATGACGTTAACTTTCCAAGTCTTTGCAAACTACGACTAACGAATGAATCAAAGGACCCATCTGAAGATATCGATCCAAACACGATAGGAAGCTTTCTCCCTGGTGACGAAAACGAACTCTTGGCTGGTCTAGTCGACGATTTCGATTTCAGTGGTTTGCCAACTCAGCTCGAGGATTTGGATGATGATTTTTTTGGGAGCGGAGGAGGTCTAGAAATTGAACCAGAGAACGACTTATCGAGAAGTGTTGCTGACAGTTTTAGTGGCAACAGCATTTCTCATTATGGTTTTATGAATGGTTTGGGGCCAGTTAGCGGCGAACATCCATATGGGGAGCACCCCTCAAGGACGCTGTTTGTTCGTAATATCAACAGTAATGTGGAAGACTCTGAACTCAGGTCTCTTTTCGAGGTACTCTTGCTGATATTAAATTATTTTTCAGCTTAGATTTACTAGTATTATTATTATTGGGAAGATTCGTGTTGCAACCTCTCCATAGTTTTGCTTGGTTATATAGCTACTTATAGTTTTTCTTTTTTGCGAATGAATGGGGATTTTCAAATCATAATGTGTAAAATGTATTCACAATCTAGTAATTGGTTGGATGATGTTATTCTGCAAAAGTTTTTGCATAGAAGGTATGAGGAGGTGAAGGAAGTGTCTGCACTATATTTGCATGATATGATAAGTATCAAACTAAGGAGTGTCTGCACTATATTCATTTAAGATGCATAGTTTCTCTTAATCAATTATTATTCGAAATGATATTCTAAATTACAATGTAAATAATTTAGGGTGAATTTGGATATCCATTCAATTCCATTTAATTTAATTATTTTTAATTTTATGAAGAACAATAATTAATTGTGAAGCAATGTTCTAAACTTTTGCTTCTTTGATAAGAACAGCAAAACTCTTTCGGAGTGGCAAAATGTAGTAATCAACTTTGTTTGTATCACGATTTTTGTGTTGCTTTGATATCCCTCATCTCTGCACACGAGTTACAATTTAGCCTAATTCACTGACCACCCCTAATTGTCCACTGAGAAACATTATGATCAGGCCCATATCATAGTTATATAATGGCTTCTTATAGTTTAATAAATCATACTACCTTTACATAATTACTTTATTTGAACATATTGAACTACTAATTTTCTATAATTTTTTTATATGCTCCTTTCACAATAGCAATATGGAGATATCAGAACTCTTTACACTGCATGTAAGCACAGGGGATTCGTAATGATATCTTACTATGACATCCGAGCTGCTCGAATTGCAATGCGCGCATTGCAAAATAAGCCCTTGAGAAGAAGAAAGCTTGACATTCATTTTTCTATTCCAAAGGTTTGAAGCCATGATACTTTTTCTTTTTTTAACTTGCATGTCTCTTAACAGAAAACCTCTTAAAAGTATTGCTTCTTGCTGCATGCAGGACAACCCATCTGAAAAGGATATTAATCAAGGAACTTTGGTGGTTTTCAATTTGGATGCTTCTGTATCCAATGATGATCTTCGCCAAATATTTGGAACTTATGGAGAAATTAAGGAGGTGAGGTTTACAACTTTGCATGCCGTGTCAATAATTTCCAAGTATATGTATCTATTTTTCCTGATCGTAATGAATTTCTTCCTTTCTCTGGGTTTTGGTACCGCCTTAACTGTAGATAAGAGAAACACCACATAAACGGCACCATAAATTCATTGAGTTTTATGATGTTAGAGCTGCAGAGGCAGCTCTCAAGGCTTTAAATAGAAGTGATATAGCTGGGAAGCGCATAAAGCTTGAACCTAGCCGGCCAGGTGGAGCCCGCCGGAGGTAATATCCGATTCTTAACTGTAGGCTGATCGCATCTTGGGATAGGGTGGGCTCGAATTACTAGTGTAGTTTCTGGTTTCTTTTTATGTGTGCCAATTAATGGAAAACAGCATTAGTTGAACTAAAATGAGTTTCGATTGCCTCGCCTGATATTGTGTCCTAAAGATGTTGGACGATGGAAGTTCTGGTTCCTTGATGAATTATTTACTCGAAAACTGAAATTTCTGTATTCTTCGTCAATTTGATTATTTTATCATCTTTATTGTTCTCGTGGTTTGATATTTTATTATCACATTCTTTTCCAGCACATGGTTCTTTTTCAAATATACTTGACTGCAAATAACGTAACAAGGGTAATCAATGTGTTTTATTTGCTGAACAGCTTGCTTTTGCAACTGAGTCAAGAGCAAGAGCCAGATGAAGCTCGAGCTGTACGCCATCAAGTTGGTTCCCCTGTAGCCAACTCTCCTCCCGGCGTTCTAATTGATGGTCCGATTTATTTACCAAAAGTCTGATTGACTATGTCCATAAAAATCGAAATTCTCATGTTGCAACCGATTGAAATTCAAACTTATTTCCAGGTAGCTGGCATAAATTTGGCAGTCCAGTCGAGCAGAACTCCTTGCATGGATATTCCCAGACGCCTAATTTAGCACTCAGTCCCGTAGGAAGTAATCACTTGCCCGGTTTGGCCTCTATTCTTCCTTCTCATATACAGAGTCACGTGAAGATTGCACCCATTGGCAAAGATCTCACGAGGGCGGGCCACCACACAAGCTACATTGACAATATGGCTAATATGAATCATGGGCCGGCCCGTTTTTCAGTTCCCAGTCCCACTTTGAGCTCAAGCCCAAGACCCGTCTCGTCGTTTAGTGATTCGAAGCCGTCGAGTGTTGGAACACTTTCTGGTCCACAGTTCCTATGGGGCAGTCCCTCTGTTCCTTCGGACCAAACTAATTCGTCCGCATGGTCTTCCTCGATTAAGGGTCGACCGTTTACATCCAAGGGACAGAGATTAATCAGTTTTCCTTACACTAGTCAGAATAGCCCGTTTCTTGGTTCTCATCATCATCATCAAGTGGGGTCAGCTCCATCTGGTGTTCAGATCGAAAGACATTTTGGCTTTTTCCCAGGATCACCTGAAACATCTTTCGTGAAAAATTTTGGAGTTACAAATTTCGGTCACAGCAATGGAAATAATGGTTTAACAAATTTGGGAGTTGCTTTTGCCGGGAGCTTTGGTGAAAGCGGTTCTCCTAGCTCTCGCATGATGCCGATTCTGAGAAATGGGCCTTTGTACTTTGGGAATGACTCATTTGGGAGCATGGGTGATGGGTTACTTGACCGCGGTCGAGGTAGAAGGACTGGCGGTGGAGTTCATACAGATAACATGAGGCACTATCAACTTGATTTGGAGAAGATTGCAAATGGGGAAGATAGTAGGACTACTTTGATGATTAAAAACATCCCGAACAAGTAACAACTGAAAATGCTTACTTGGCTTTTGTTTTCTTTTTCCTTTTTCGTTTCAATTATTTGGTTCTTTTCCTTCTGTATCTTTTATGGATCTTGTACTTAGAATTACTGATTTGAGTACGTGCTTGTCTTTTCGTTATCTGAAGGTACACTTCAAAGATGCTGCTTGTGGCTATTGATGAAACTCACAGTGGAACATATGATTTTCTGTATTTACCAATAGACTTTAAGGTAAGTCGTGTGTTAAATTAAACGAACTTTCTTCACTCTTTTCTTGAGTCTGTATCTGCTGAATTACTTGTATATATATATATATGTATGTATTTTTTTTTCTAGAATAAGTGCAATGTTGGGTACGCCTTCATCAACATGGTGTCGCCTTCTCACATCGTCACCTTTTATGAGGTAATAGTTTTCATAAAACTTATTTTGGTAAGGGTTCGTAATATTCTGCAATCTTTCTTATCTCTTGCATGAATTACAAACTTCCTCTCCTTAATATATCCCATGCCTTTTCTGACGTGCATTTTGACTCGCCGTATTTCCTTCTTTGAAGGCATTTAACGGGAAGAAGTGGGAGAAGTTCAATAGCGAGAAAGTTGCTTCATTGGCGTACGCGAGAATCCAGGGAAAAAATGCCCTTATTTCCCATTTTCAGAATTCGAGTTTAATGAATGAGGATAAGCGATGCCGACCAATTGTATTCCGATCAGAGGGCCAAGAGATTGGCGATCTGGTAACATTTCTATTTTCCTGTTCTCTTTTCTACTGAATAACATGATAACTAATGTGAGCTCGTTTTCGGACTAATCAGGAACCTCTCCCATCTGGAAATCTGAACATATTTATCCGCCAGCCGGATGGATCCTACGCAGGAGATTCTCTCGACAGCCCAACCGGTGAACCAGATGAGATGTGATGAGAAATATGTATATTTTGCTAACAGTTCTTATTTGTTTTGTTTGTGTTAATGTCCCCATTTTCTTTATTTCTTCTTATTATGATTTTTTTTTTTTAATTTATTTGGGGCCTAATTGTGAAGTTCAATTCCAGCAAATGTATAGTAGTTTTTAGAGGTGTCTGAGGATGGCAAAATGTTGTATAGATGGGTTGCTTCCTGGAAGTGTATATAGTTGTCTGTCAGATGTAACAAAGATGGTATTGTATGAAAAAGTTCCTTTTTTTTTTTCTTTCTTTTTTTCTATGAAGCTATCGGACGGATCGACTTATTGAGTCGTCCATAGTTGTTCACAAATAATGCACGTGTCCTACAATAAATACACTTTGAACATGTGTGAAACTTAACATACGTTCTTTTCATATAAAATTTTAATATTTTATTTTTAATAAATGGAGTGGGCTCATTATCCACCCATAATCCACCATTCTCTCAGTTCAAATTGAATGAAAGGAGTGGGCCCAATCATTTATCCAATTAAATGAATTACCACAACCCATGAATTGTTTCTAGGGCTGCACATGAGTCGAGCTACTCACGAGCGTTTTCGAGTCAAAGCTCGGCTCGAGCACGAAATTTTGTCGAGATTGAACCAATTTTCGTTAATATCATCTAACCTAACTTCAAATCTGAACATAATTATTTGTGAAGTTTTATTCTAATATTTGGACACTATAGTCGTTCTAAAAAGAATCAATGGTATAGAACAATAAATCTGAAATGTAATATTTGGTCACTACTGTCGGTGATTTTAAGAAAATATAAATTAGTAATAAATCTTATATGTAGGTCCTCCGTAATTGTTTTCTATCTTTTACTTTATTTTATATTTAATGCGTATAAGTTACTATAAATGTGTATTTTCCTTAATTTTTAAGATCTTATAATTTTTTTATCTATATTTTTATTTTTCATATATGTTATACCAAATTATCCATCATCTAACGATTATCGATAAGACATTTATGTTGTATATATAAAAATATTTTTAAGGAATATGTAAATTTATTCATCAAACCAAATTGAAATATATCAAATAAACTATAAATTATCATATAAAATAAAAGAAAAAATTATATTAGAAAAACAAAATGTAGAAAACAAGTATTAACGTAAAGTGAATATAAATAATTATTACATTAAATTATTTTCATTCATCACAAATTATAAAATTTAAAATATAAATAAAAAAACAGATGATCAGAGATATCAACTCGTAAAATTAAATATAATACCACACAATCAAGCATGGAGGAAATTAAATTTATGAAGTTGCGAATACTGTTTATTAATATAAAAAATATAAAATTTATGAAGGTGATATTAAAACTGACAAATTTTTACAAATTGAATATTAAATTTGGGTTTTATTTTAAATAATTTTTTATCTGTTGTATATTTATTTATAGTTTATTAATAATAATATAAATTATTACTTTTTTTTTTTGTAAGTATTTCTTTATCAAATACCCATGTAAAAAAAAAAATAGCGCACTAGTATATATTATGTTAAAACTAGTGCTCTTTTACCTGTGCACATGCACACACGAAATTATGTTAATTATATTAAGTATTAATTAATGAAGTTTTAATTTACTTGTATAAAAAAAAATAAAATGAATTATTATTGATTATAAAATTTTCGTTGTTATATCTTGGCTAATTCTCCCCCAATACATGTCTATTTTTCGATTCATCATCAAAATTTCATTAAATTAGTTATGGTAAAAAAAAAATAATAATAAAATTAATTAGCTTATTTCTACTATGCATACCCCGCATCATCATGTGTATGATTACCAAAGGTAATAAATTGCATATTTTTGGGGTTCTTGATAAATGGTGCAAACAAATTAAAAGAGGCCAACAAATAGGCGTGATTAGACTATTCAAACTTAGTCATGTGGTGCATGAAAATCTTATGCGGACATTATCAAAACCATTCACTCACTTGGAATGATTAAGCATTCACCAAACCCACTAACAAGACATTTTTGCATGATCTACTATTATTTATTGTTACAATAAAAATTTCAAACTGGTAATTAAGGGTACATCAAAGAGAGTATCTATATGTATGGTTGCAAACGAGTCGAACCGAGTCGAGTCGAGCATTGGTCTTATCGTGCAGAACTGAATTTTTTTAGCTGCTTGAGCTCGATTTATGAGGCTCGAGATCGACTCGATAACAAAATACAATAGATCGAGCTTGAGCTCGACACAAAATCAAATACTCAAGTTCGGCTCGAAATTTTTTAAGTGAAATTACCATTAACCACTGTATGTGTTATTACTATTTAAATATATATAAAGAGTATCTTAATAATTTAATATATATATATATATATATATATATATATATTGAGTCGCTCGACAAAGTAAAATATGGGATCAAGCTCAACTCGAGTTCGGTCAAACTCGAGACTCGTTTGCAGCCCTATCCATATATATGTACTGGGAAAAGAGAGAGATCAATTGTTTTAAGAATATGGCATGTATTATATTTCCAATTGTCCTATTAGTATTAGGGTATGTTTGGTATGACATATAAGCTAGCTTATAGCTTATTTGATTAGCTTATAAGCTTCCTGTATTAAATAAGTCCTGTTTGGTAGGACGAGCTTATTTAAAAAGCTCGAGCTTATTTGATAAGCTTGTTTAGGTAGCGTTTCAAAATAAGCTCGTTGAATTTTTTATTTCAGCTAGCTTATAAGCTACTTTTACCAAACACTTTTATCATATAAGCTAGCTTATAATCTATAAGTCATAAGCTATAAGCTATAAGCTAGCTTATCACATATAAGCTATAAGCTAGCTTATCAGCTATCAGCTAGCTTATCAGCTAGTTTTACCAAACACACCCTTAGTAAATTCTCAATGTTGGCTCTAAACAATGTCATTGGAAAATAGCAAATATCATTCAAAGTGAATTAATTAATATTATTGGTGAAAAATGGTGTTTGGATCATACCAACCACTACTTGTTTGTCTTAACTAGAAATATTAAATGTTAATCAATATATAACAGTTACTTAAATGCAATCAGGACGGAAGAAAAATCAATAGAGCCAAAGGAGAAAAATTACTACTACCTTCTATTCTTTTTAAATGTCATTTTAACTTTATCAACTATTAACCAAATAAATGTCGTTTTGGACATATTTTTTCATTATTACCTTTATTTAGCTAATAAATACACTACGTCTTTTCATATTCACTATTCGTCTTTTTTCAAAACATTCATCTCTATCTTCATTAATGAAAGTTATTATTGACAAAAAATATATATATATATATATATATATATATATATATATATATAAAGAATTACCATTTTTTAAAAATAGTAGGTCAAATTCTGGTCAAATCTCAATTAGCATTAATTAAATTCTATACTTAGTAACTTTTTTTTTATTTATTTTTTCAAAAAAATCAGCATTAAACGCTACCTTAAAATTATGGTATTTGTTACTTTTCTTTCAAAAAATCGTGCTACCATAAAGAAACAATATTACATACCATAAATTTTTGGCTAACTAAAGTATTATATTTTCATTAAAACTAATTACGGTTGATTTAATCTTGAAATAGTACAACAATTTTATTTTTTTAAATATGCACCCTAAATTTATATATTTTGTTTTAGGTAAATTTCGACAGATGCAAAAGTCAATTTTCTTTCTCTATTTTTATTAAAAAAACTGATTAAAATAAAATCAAGAATTTCGAATTAGGCAAAATACTATCACATATATCTTTTACTAATTGCAACAGATCAATTATTTATTATAAAAATCGGATTGCATAGTCGACATGACAATTTTGTAAAAGTCAAAATTCTTTCATTTTTTTATTAAAAAATATGTTTACCTTACAATCGAGAATTTTGAATTAGACAAAATACTATAACATGTATTTTTGCCTAATTGTAGCAAATCATATTTATTAAAAAAAATGGATTACATAAAAATCGAGCCAAATTTCAAATTAAAAACTAAAAATCTTTTATCATTTGATTACTTTTGTCTTTAATTCGGACTTTTTTAAACATAAAACAAAGTCATATAATATTAATTTGAAATTCAAAATGAAATCGGATTGTAACATCCTAAAATTTGGGTTTTGTTTAATTATCTAGAATACAAATTTGAAATTGATTGAATACACTTACAAAATAAATAATGATTTCATACACTTACAAAATATCGTATATATTCTGCTAAATAATTTAATCGATTTATTTAAGACTATCTACAATCTTAATATAATTTGTGGCGATAGACGATGTACCAAAAGACCAAACAAATAATTTTGTGTATAATGATGTGTTTAATAATATATAACGTTACATTGTATTTCATTTCAATATATATGTATTTTGCATTTTTTCAATCATCCAAATTTAACTGCTTACTTTAATAAAACTAGCTCGTGCATCGCACGGGTACCACACTAGTTCTTAATTATTGTGCAAGTTCTCGTTTTTAATTATTGTGCAAGTTCTCAAAACGATACTTATTATGAATAGGAAGGAGTATTAATTTGTCTCGATGTTAAAAATTGATATTAATTAATTAGTGGACTGAGTTTCTTTTGTAGGTTAATTGATCCGGTAATCAAGTCTGTTAATTAGCTTGTTCTTACAAACATTTTTAATCCAAAATATTAAAAAAAAAAAATCTAAATATTTCGTATAATTATCTAATATAATTATAATAATTATATACATTTATATTTTTTGTTTAACATAATTTTATGGTACATATAAATGCCATATAAATTTTATTCAGTATAACATACTAAATAATATATTAATAATTAAAAAATATATAAATAACTAAATATAATACTTATTATTTCAAACATAGCAATAAGAAAATAAATATTTGTTACAAATATTATTAAATTAAAAATACAAAAAAATAAAAATAAAAATGTTTCTAAAACAAGAAACAAAATTGAGGTGGTCGGCCATGGTGGGCCAGGTGTAATAAACTAGATAAAACTTTAAAAGAGGTGTCAAATGTGCTTCTTGTACATGGGTGGGCCAGGTGGTTTGCCAACTCTTTCACGCTTTGGGGAACGCGTGTAGTAAATGTTCTTTTATGACGAATTGAGTGTGTGAAACTCACGCCCTTACTCATATCGATGTATTTTATTTTGGTGTACTTTTATATTGAAGTGTATGAAAGGTTTGAATTTGTAAACCTCCTATAAGGCGTCCCCAATAGTTGACTATTTGGCAAACTATTATGACGTGGACAGGAGAAAAGTAGGAGAGATAGTAGTCACTAGCGACGAACAAATAGCTTATCTATTTCACGTAGCCCAAGATTATGTGAGAGGAGTATGTGGGTCCAATAGTGTAAAATAGTTATTTTTCTTATCTCTCACATCTACGTCAGCTGACCATATAGCTAGTAATAACTATTACCATTGGAGATGCCCTAATAGTACAAAGGAACGATCTTACGTTTTACAATTACCAAATCAATTTCTGTCAGGATTTGTAATCATTAGATCAACTATTTTTTGACGGTCCTCGATGAAATGTTTCGTAACGAGATCTTAAAAAAGATTTCCGACTCACCGATATGAATAGAGTGAGATTTGCACAATAATGTGAAACGTTGGATTAGATTTAAAGAGTTTTTTCAATTCAAGGTCTGAAAGATGGGTAAACTATCAATTCGGGGCTTGAAAGATTTTTTTTCTCAATTCGAGACCTAAATGTTATAAAATTATCAAATTAAGTCCTACAATTAACAACACTCATAAAACTATTAAATTAAGAGCTAATTTGAACTTTTAAAACACCAAATCTGTTTTTTTTTAATATTATGCAAATGTTTACTTATTATTTTATGTGAGTAAGCAACAATCTTTTATTTTTTTTTTTCAAATTTTGTTTTTTAATACATCAAATTAACTCTCAATTTAATGGTTTTATGAGTGTTGTTAATTGTAAGACTTAATTTGATAGTTTTATAACATTGAGGTTCTGAATTGAAAAAAAAATAAAAAATCTTTCAGGCCCCAAATTTGATAGTTTACCCATCTTTCAATTCTTGTATTGAAAAAACTCCATTTAAATATTAGAGGCAATTTAGTATTTCCGTATTTTGTCATAACTTGTTACTCATGTAAAATGGCACATATATAAATTATAAAGAGCCATTCAGGAAGGGAAAATTAAATATATATATATATATATATATATATATATATATATATATATATATATCTCAATCGCCCTCTCAATCGGTGCCTGTAGTTGGGAAAAAAAAAAAAAATAAATAAAAAATTGTTTAATCATCACAAATATTATAGTAAATATTGATGTAGCTGACTAAATTAGTTCGGTCCGAAAGTTTGAGACAAGTGGTTGGTTTGGCTAATATGCCAACTTGAGTCTGAAGACAAATTTATCAGGTAAAATTTAAAATTGTAAAAAATACTTATTAATTCTATAAAATTCGAGTAAAACATGCACTAAAATGCAAAAATATCCATTACCTAATTGCTACGAGTGGTAAATAATAGGGCATTACTATTCACCGCCCCCCTTATTACTAGTCACCGCCCCCCTTGGACATTTTTGCCCTTTATTACTATCTCTCTCTACTCTATCTCTCTACTTTTTTTCTTT